TAAGGAACTCCAGCTATTTGAAGGCAGTAATAACCAAAGGAGAATGCCCCCACAGAACAATGGATTTTCTCTCTTCCTTTGGCATCATGATAAGGGATCTATTTTTCCCCACAGTCCTCTTTGTAGGTGCATGTCCTGTGGTGTTTATTTTAGGGGAGGGATAAGGGGGCAGAGACTACTTTTCAAACACTCTGAAGCAGGGTGGCACCCCTGGGTGACACTTAAACCTCCCTGGACATTCCATTGCTGACCTCAGAGTAGCTGTTCTTAGCCAACAAAACTTTAAAAATGTATGGGAAACTGCAAAACAAGAAATCATCACAGACAGGATTGTGTTAAGTATGGTTTAATCTGAGACTATGGATGCTTATCCCATTACTTTGAACTTTTATAAACCCCTTGTCCCTTAGTGGGTTAACCTACTTTGTTTTTCACTCTCCTACCCACCTTGCCTCTCTCTGCAGTGCCTTCTCCTTTTTCCTCCCCCCTTTCCTATGCTTTGTATTCTAATCACTCCTTTCTATTTAGTAGCTCTGCTTTCTGCAGTCCCTTCACAGCATTTGCTGAGGTAAGCCCTCTGCTTACAAAAGTGTACGCTGTAACATCTCTGATTTAGTTAGTCTATAAACATGCGAATCCCCTCTGCACTTTGCCCGACTCTAAACCAGCATGGCTAAAAACCTTTCAAAAACTGCCTCCAACCTTCTTGGCTGCTCTGATTTTCCCTGGGGTCAGCACAGAATTTGCCCTGTACCTCCTGGGCACAGACTCCTAATGGACACAATTCAGAATCTGGTCCATGTTTTGTTGCGGGTTATTTTTTTTAATAAAACAGAAAGAGTATTATCTACATTATAGTGGTTTTACCTATATTACTAATACTACCACAAATTATTACAACTAGAAAACCTAAACAAATTATTACAACTAGAAAAACACGTTCCTCGCCTGTTGCGTTTCTTTGCTTTTGGAAATCCTCACCATGGCAATGCATATGGACCTATTAGTTTAAATTTCATCTATATCTATTCTTTTGGGTCAATTTCATCCTTTGGCTCTCCTGACCCAACACAATGTCATAACATTTGGCTCCTAATTACTGCGGAGGATGGTTTATTTGCTTTAAAAACTGTTTTGGTTGGATTCTTAAAATTCCATATAAACAGTTCAATTGATCTTCTGGTTTTTGCAAAATATACATTTGGATGAAATGCAAGTTGGCACTACCCCTAGAAACACTAAACTTTATTACTCTTATGCTGTTTACACAGTTCTCAGGACTCCCTAGGATCAACAGCCAAATATTTCACATTCGCATAACACTTTACAGACATTAAACAGTTAATGACAGAGTTTTTGCTAAAGGCAAACAAGGCAGGTAAACCCTCCCTGGTAAAAAGACTGTCATGGACGTAGGGTTTCTTTCATTGCCCTCTGACAGTGAGTAAGAACCTTGACTAGATAGACCAGTGGGAGCCAACCTTCTTGGCAGACATGGCACAAGGTAAACCCTGCACACTCCCCCAGTACCCCTCTGAACCTCTTCCCTTGCTCGACTTGTTACTGTGCTTTCTGCGTTCTGCTTGATCCATTGCTCTGCCTTCTTCAACCTGCCCTACCATTGTGTTCCCTGCTCCCCCCCTGATCAATCGCATGCCACACAAAGAGGCTGCCTATGCCACTTACAGTATATGTACAAAGACTGACCACTTCTAAAATAGACCACTCACCTGACACAATCTGGAAATTCTTAACGTCAGATTATTCCTCATCTTTCCTCAATTTCTTACTATCTTTCTCATACTAAAAAAAAGGTCTCAATGTAAAAGGACATGCAACTTTTATTGTTTGGCACTTTTGCAAACTGGAGTTACAAAATGCAATTGAACTGATCCTTAATGAATGCCTAATAGCAAGCAAAAGCAACCTGCAGCCCTGTTGATCAAATTTAGTCAATAAGGGCTACTATACAGGTGCAGGGAGCCTGCTCCAACCTGCTGGAAATCCAGTGCTTCGGAGCGACTCGATTAATCGAGTCTGCTGGAGCATGGAAATGAATGTGCTCCACCAGATTCTAGTGTCACGTGCATCAGTGTCCCCATACTGAAAAATGGCAGTGGGGCACTTTGACCTAGTGCTTGTTGGACAAGCTTTAAAGTGCCTCACCACCATTTTTTCAGTACAAGGATGCTGATGCACATGATGATCAGGCACTTCTAATTATGGTGGCTCACTTGTTAAAGTGTCCTCCCGCACACACACCTGCCGGAGCATGTGTAAAAATGCCCTAATAGACCTCTACAGAGAGGGCTTGCAACAAACATTTGAGACACTGCTGCTAAGTATTCACGCTTGGCCTGGTAGCAACACAGATTTATTCCCGTTTTAATTGACAGGCTTATGAACCTAAACAAAATATAGCACAGCATGCAGCTAGTTTAATTTCCATGGGTGAAGCTGAACCAGCAGGGTTTCATTTTTGTAGTTCTCCAGCAGCAGTTATATGCATTTATGACATCACAGGATGCGGTCATGCAAATAAAAACTGCAGTGATATAAATTCAAAAATATATCTTCACTGCAAGCAAGCATACATACATACATATACAAAAATCTAAAAAATTAGTACTATATAACATAATGAAAGCCAAACCTTAATGCATTTAATGTGTGTTAAGTACCAAATCAAAAAAGGTACATGCCAACAGGGAATCGTCATTTATGGTGGTGTTTCGAATGGGGTCGCTCAGGCATTGATATTAAGCCCAAAGCCATTCAATTATTTTATCAAGGATCTGGAAGTAAACATAAAACTATGGCAAAATCTGTAGATGCCAGATTGGAAGAAGCAGTAAATAGTAATAAGGGCAGGGGAGACTTAAAGAATGCCTGAACAGCTTGGTAAATTAATCCCCATTCAAACAAAGGGCACACTTTTGTATCAAATTGTATCTCAGAATGGGGGACTCTCTTGAGAAGCAGCAAACTCAGAAGAATTTTAGGGATCGGAATGATCAATGTGAATTCCCATAGAGATGCTGTGGCAAAAGGATTATTGTGAACTTTGGGTATATAAATGGGGGGAATAAAGAGTAGGGAGATGATTTTACCTCTCTATGCCAGTGATACTCAACCAGGGTGCTATGGCATCCTACGCTACCACATGTCCCTATTAAAACTGCCATGGGGTGCTGTGCAGTATTAGCACCGTTAGACATGAAAACCTATACAATTCACAAGATGAACCCAGAGATTTTCCCTAAATAAGTATCTACCATGTCAAAAACATTCTGACTTGTTTTGATCTTTTTGAGTTCTCTGCCACAGAATAATTACTTTATTATTTTTCTGTAGTCTAAAAATGAGCGAAAGCAAAGTGACGGCATTTTCTGAGAAGTGTTTTGAGTCTAACAAGGGGTGCCTTGACTCTAAAAAAAACCACTGCTCTATGATGAGACTACTCCTAAAATACAGAACTGTGGGTACAGTTCTACTGTTGTTTTTAAAAGAAGGTTGAAGAACTTGGAGAGTATGAAAATAGAGCAGTGAAAAATTATTCAAGGGCTGGAGAAAAAGCCCTGGAATACAGTGGCAATGCAAAGGGGTGACATGCAACCTGAGAGCGCTGCTGCACCCCTTGACAGGCCATGCTCTGCACTTAGGTGATGGGCAGGGGGGGCCAGCGGGAGTGCCGGTGCCCCCCCCTGCGAGCGCCAGCCAGGGAGTGGGAGCGCTGCAGCCACTTCCAGAAGCCAGCGAGTGAGACTGGCCGTGGAGGGACCACCCACACAGTCGGCGGGATCAGCTGTGTGGTATCCCCCGCCCCCAGTCCTGACTGGTTGCTGGGGGGGCACATCCCGCCCTCCCCCGCCCCCGCGCGCCAAGTAAGGTGGCACCAGTTGCCCATGCTGGAATATGAACTCTTTGTATCTCTATTCATTTACCTTATAAAAATTATTATTTGAAACTAAGTACCACCATGGGAAAAAAAATGCTGGTTATTAAAGGACTCTAATCTAGTGGAAAAGGTGCAACAAAAACCAACATCTGGGATTTAAAACCACATTCAAATTAGAAATTAGGCACAACGTTTTCCTAAACAGTGAGGGTTATTAGTTCCAAACTACCAATGATGGCATCTCAACTTCGTGATGTCTTCATATCAAGACTGGATGACAACCCTTAGCCAAACACAAGCTCCTGGGTTCCATACAGGGGTAACTGGATGAAATACTTAACAACTAGTGACATATTCAGAGTCAGATTAGATAATCTAATGGCCCCTTCTGGCGCTAAACTCTAAGAAATTGAGTACATTTTTATATTTAAGTCAATGGAGGGTATATGAAATGTGTAAGAACAATAGCCTTTGCAGACAAATGTTCCGTACCTAAAGAAGACATGCAACACAGAAAGCTATAGTTCAAATGTTATCACACCCTTTCTCTGCTTGTCTTTATTCTGCTCTGAAAGAATATTTTTTAAGAGTTCAGATCTTATTCCTATTTAATCTTTGGCTTCTTTACTGAGCATCAGTTATAAGGGTGATCATATTGATGTTGAAACCTGCCCATTACAAACTTGACTGGAGACAGTCAAATCATTTCTCCCGGACTAGTGAGCAACTACAGAGTAACAATGACTTTTGATCACTACTAATCTTGGCTGGATTTGTATTGACCAAGAAGTTAAAGGCTCCACGGTTAGTCACTCAAGCCAATCAGATCTTGCATCTATTTATATTTTCTAATCTATTTTAAAACAGTCCCTATTACTTCTGATTATTTATGCTGGCTTTGAACCAAAAAAGTTCAAGAAATAATTCAATTAGCTCAAGTTATGCCATTAGAACATACAAACTTAAATGAATAAAATCTGTGGCAAAAAAAAAAATTCTTCATGTTTGTGTTACAGTGCATTTTACTCTCTTTTTCTGTTTGAAAGGGGAAAAAAAACAACCTTTGAATAGCCCATTTTCAGCATCTTCAGCCACCACTCACCTGTGCCTTTGCCAATTTCTTTTCCAACAGGTCCCGTTCCCTTTCTGTTTGTTGCAGTCGTTTATTAAGCTCCACTATGTCTCCTTTTAGTGATGCCAGGGCTGCTAAATGGAGCTGTAAAATAATCAAAATATATCCAGGTTAAACTATACCACTTATAAAATACCAGATCTGGACATAATTTAGATAAATAGAATAGGAATGGGTCTTCTGTATACACTGACTACTGTGGGCATTCCCACTTCAGAACCAAGAGGTAACCAGAACAACGTTTAAAAATAATCAACTAGTAAAAATAATCCGCACATTAAGAAATGCCTGGAACTCTCCACTTTTTACATAAGCTCCTCATACGAACATACACCTCGCCAAAATAAATATAATGCAGCATAATATAGCTTAAAGTCTAGGTATATTAGCTTTTCAACACTACCTCCGCAGAAGCTAGATCAGAGACTTGTTATGAAAACCCCCCCTGAAATGCTGGCTCAAAGTCTTGTATTCTAAAGGAAGGTGGAATATGCTTTAACCACCTGAATGATTTCCAACACAGCCTGTCAGCTTGCTAGAAAGAACAACGGGGATACAGCAGAGTTCGATATGTTACTTTGCAAATAACAGAAATGCCACTTCAGAGCTACTACCATTCAGAAGTTGTCATTTTCCCCAGGTCTCTTGTTGGTGAGTCTGAACAAGTAAAATTACAGAAGTTCAACAGAAGGACTCAAACTGCATTTCACTCTTTTGATATTTTATTTGAATTAAATAATTATACTAATGACAAATATGTGCTTATAACAGTGGTTCTTAACAGTTTTTGATTCAAGGCAACCTCAGAAATTGCCAGTTTTTAGTTTTCACTTGTTTTTTGACTGCAGATAAATAGTAAAGCAATTTTTCTGCTGCAAAGAACTCAGAAAGACCACAACAGGGTAGAATGGTTTTAACGCTATGGATTCCTATTTGAAGTCTCTGGGCATATCTTGAGAAACATGTCTGCATACTTAACAGTGCTACCATTGCTTGGTACCCCATGGTACCCCTGAAAGGATCTCAAGGCAGCCTGGATGACAATCACTGCTTTATAACCTGCAGCTGCCTTAAAAACTGTAGCTTGGTGACTAAACACAGTTTATTTCAAGATATTGATTCCAAACACTTTTGGATACTCCTTTGAATCTGCAACTTAGGTCTGCTGTCTCAGGGCTGTTGCTTTCTGCATTTTACTCTTGTATAAACAAATATGATAATCTCCAATTAGAATACTAGAAATTAAAATGCAGTGCACACAAGTACCAGAGAATATGCTATTAGTAGCTAAACCAAAAGATTGAGAAAGCACCCAGAATGGAAGAGAAGAACCAAAAAAACTGGTAGGGATTGCAAGGTGGAATTGACAATTCATATCTATCTGATGGCATGTGGAAATGGATGACAGGCTCAGATAATTGGAACAAATGGACACCCTAAGAAGAGTCAAAAAAGATTTTTATTTGGATAACATTAAAAATCCATCACTTTCTCCTGTATTCCCAATTACCCAGTTCATAGCTGGGAAGAATGCATCATGGGCCCATGATGGTAAATACAACTAAAATGCCTAAGAAAAAAACCAGCGAGTAATACTGAAGTTCATCTTTGTAGCACTGGAGGAACACTTCTAAGTTATATTGGGTGAGAAAACAAAACTGACCTTTCACAATAGATGAACTAGTAAAGCAAATATTGCTGAGTTGCCAAGACAAACCTTTCTCTTAAGGCCAAACTCCTCCTCTTTCTCACTGGGCTGACATTTTGTTAGGAGGGTTTCCTTTATATTATTTGTATTGTTCTACCTCCATTCAAACTGTTAATGAGTCTGGTTCTAATATAATTTAAATTATAACAACCCCCCTTCCAAAAAGCCCCCCAACAACAACAAAACCCAAAAACCACCAAATCCAATACTGGGAACCAGTAAGCCCACAGCTGCTCAGATGTCTGGAGGGATGAAAAGTTTTTTTTCTGCAAAGGAAGACTGAGATGGATCCAGCAACTGCATCCTTTGTATACAGCATTGTGAGTACTTCAAGGTGTCAGTTTCGGTTTCGAGACTAGTATTTTTGCCATAATTTTTCAGCTGTAAACGCTGCAGTTTTCATTTCAGTTTGGGTCAGAGGCTGAGGAGACTCATTTGACAGCTGGATGTCTTCAGCTGCTTTTTGTTCAAACACAATTCTATCATGACAGCTACATGCTTAAAAAAAAATAAAACTGTAAACGTCTCTTATTTTTTTTAAATGCTGCAAAAGGATTTGGTACTTATGAAGGAGCAGTTTACAGCTATTGAGGAAAGGCATTATATATATACCCCTCTTCCAAATATGTGGGCCAGTACACCTCAATTATCACTTCAAAACTGCCTATGCCAGTGAAATGTTTGGGATGTTCTTGATAACTTCCTCCAGCCATGGTGAAATATATAATATTTTTAGGATGTGGTCAAACCAAGCTGATTTTCACTGACCAAATCTGACCCAGTTTTGGAATCCTGGTCCCAGTCACTGTACCATGTGGTTCCCTTGGTAGAGGTTTTTCTTGATTGCACTTCAGTATCTCAACACCAACTGCAAAACTCTATGCTAACCTGCAGATTGAGACGCATTTGTGATTTTTTTCTCCCTTCAGTTCTCTGGGTCTGATTCTGCTCTCACATTCATTTGACAAAATTCTTTACATTATTCTCCCAAATCTCCTTTTCAATTATTCCAATCATTGCTGGCCTGAGCATACAGCAATTTGGCTGACCCATTCCTTGATTTTACTGATCCTGGTATCCAGCAGCTAACAATTACCAGGACTGAGATACATCAATGAACATGACACCACCCACCCACCTTTCTAAATAATCAGTTTCTAGCACTATTGTCCTCATCCCTCGGTGTCTGGATCTCTACCCTTCATTCTGGATACAGATTTCTCTTGGTGACTTGATCCTGGTACTATCCCATTTCTTTTCAGTATCTTCACTTTAGCATCAGGGAGGCTTCTGCAGAACCAAGAATCTGTGTTAAATTACTAGTAGATTGCTTCCCATCTCACTTAAGCTACCATAATTTTTTTCTTTCCCATTGTTGCTATAACTCTAGTCCTAGTTGCTAGAACATTGAAAAAAATTTACCAGGCACCTGTTAACCAGAGGCCAATGATAAAGGTGAGGTCTAATTCTGGAAGCCCAGAGGCAACAACTCCAGTGCTCCAACTAAATGGCAGAAGGCGGCCATGGAAAAGATGCTGTCTTGCCCAGGTTAAAAAATCCATAGACTTTTTTTTTTTACTTTAGGTCACCCATACTTTGGAGAAGGGAACTGAAATCTGACATGTGGTGGCCCTTGTCTCAGGGATATGCCCTTTATCATCATTGTGGAAAATTCACCCAAATCTGGCTAAGTTATTAAAGACTTTTAAAAAAATTGCAGTTTCACATGATGAGTAGAGATCACTTGGATTTAAGTGGCTAAATTCCTACTACCCTGAGTATGTTCCCTTGCAACTGTAACTATGGGCTTTGTTACATTTGAGCATTTGAATTGAGAAAAGGGAGCCTGTCTCCTGTGGTAGCAATGCCATGTGGATGAAGCATGGAGTATAAAGATGACTGACTCAAATGCAGAAAGGCCAAAAGGGTACCATGCAGAGTGCAAAATGGAGCAAGGTAAGCAAGAATAATGGAACCGAAACAGAGGCAGGACTCAGAGGCAAACAGGTTGTGCCAAGTAATGAACATTTATTTCCAGGTTGTGAAAGGAAACCTGAAGTTTTTCCCCAGGTCTCACCCTTCTTTTGTTGTCAGCAAATGTCTGATAACTAAGGCGGTGTCCCAACCCCTCTATGGGACTGGTCCAGATAAAAAAAGAGAAAGTACTAGTGTGATGATGAACCACTCTGTCAATTCAAGTAATAGAAATCTATTTGTGCATCTAAAGGTTTTGTTACATTTTATTAAAGAGGACATCATAATGTCTACATGCCAAGGAGCAAAGTATGATTGTGTAAAAACTTTAATTCTGGCTCTTTCTATGCTTGACTTCACAGCCTCAATAATATATTTACTGTAGAGCGTGGGGGTGTGTATGTACGTACATACATATTACACATGCATATATTTTAAATTAAAGCTTAAATGCTAGAGAATTTGTGCCTCTTTGGTACCATGGGACCTTTTTTGGGGAAATGCCTTTTTTTTCCACTTGCCAGAGGGGTTTAGGGGAGTTGATTTTTCAAGCACTACATTTATTTTCTTTGTTCACTCTTATGGCACTAGTCACTCCTCTACATCTATTTGTGCACTTTTCTGAGAGACCTAATTGGCTCTTGACATTAATTCTCAAGTATTTCACAAGTTAACATTACACGTTTAACAAAAATAAAGTGGGAAATGTTTTTGAGAAAAGTCTTTCCAGTGTTTTGACCCGCTGTCACAGATCACGATTTGGCTCATTAGATTCATGGAACTCCTATCATCGTTAAGCACTGCCCTCATTCTACAGTTCAAATAACAGCTACAATTCTTTAAGTTACATAAACTGCTGTTACATAAGTAAATAAGGAAACATCTTTTTTACACATTGTAATTCAATAATCAACAACTACTTTTCTAATTAAATACAGGCAGCCCCCACTTAATGCTGTTTTGCTTAGCGCTATTTCACTATAATGCTCATTTTACATTGATACCTAATTCCACTTAGCACTCAGTGAGTTTTGTTATGATGCTCATGGGCATTGTACAGATGGCAGCAAGGAGCGTACATTAGCACCACAGTGCATCAATGGCGTGCAGCCTCATTGCACAATTTAGTGCCAATTTTTTGTGTTGCCACGTTGGTTCGTCAAAAAAAAAAAAAAAAAAGGTGTTGCTCAACATTATTTCACTGAATGCTTGGTTTTTCGGGAACCAATTAAGAGCGCAAAGCAGGGGTTGCCTGTACTAGCCCAACAGCTTTCATACACAAGAATAAAAGGTAAGGGATAAGAGGACGCTTAATTTAAAAATCACATTAAAAAAAACAGATTTCCTCATCTGTGCTATTAGTAAGACTTGAAACCATCAATGCTGAAAGGTGGTATCTTTT